CAGCGCTCCTACTGTGCTGTGGCTGTGTGGCCTTCATTCAAGGTGGCCACCCTGTTGTCCCCCTGCAGCACATGTCATGTGACCCGAGGCTACACAGACACTAGCAACCAGCTCTACTTCGTGCTTTGGAACGGTTTCTCTTTTCACACTGAACATATTTAGGTGATAATTCTGTGCTGACCAGGCCAAAACCATCGGCGTCTAGCGTTTGTTGACATGTAGAGCAGTGGCTCTGCAGGAGCAGGGCAGATGAGTCCGCTGTTCTTTGCGGCTCATGTTTTATCACTTGTAACATTCGATTTCACAGAACCATTTTTACAACCAGAATAACGAGACAAAATGCGCGTTAAAGCGACAACTCACCCTCATATACAAAGAAGAAATGTATTTTTCCGCTTACCTGTAGTGCTATTTATCAATACTGTTTTGGTGCTTTGGATTTAATGGCGGCAGAGATTTGTGCCTTGGGCCAAATAAAATGGGACTCAGACTTTTGGAGCTCAAAGTGCCTTGAAAACCGAACTGCAGTGTTTCTTTCCTGAACTATAGTTCTTACACGACATTATTTTGAGTAATACAGGTCATGGCCTTTGCAGAGTTCCATATGGTCCCATTGTATTTAAGACCAGGCAGACGTCTCTGTCCTATATGTATCAAATGGGGAAAGGTCCTTTTTGGTTTTGCATTGGAGAATTACAATTGCCAAACTTTTACCAGACCAAACATTTATTATTTGGTGATAAAGTTTTAATTCACTGCAGACCCCAAATGGGAAAAATTCCATGTGGTTTAAAAAGAAACAGATGTGGTCATACCTAATTCTACCGACGACACCAATAGACGCTGGCCCTTGCTGGGCCGACGCTGAACAACACCAGGCCAGTGAAGTGGTAGATGAGTGTGAAAGGGAGGGATGACACTTTGCACAGGCTCCTTTCCCTAGTCAAAGAATTTTCCATGGTCCTGCAAGGTTGCCCTGACAACACTGGTGACAGCCATAGGCGGACTACCCATCTGGAGTACCAAGAGGTTTCCCGTTGGCCTTGTTGACCCGTGGGGCTGGTGGCAAAGATTTGAACACGTATCCGGTCAGGTTGATTTCTTCAAATATTTTACTGGCAACTGCTCAGTTACTTCATATTTTTGTCATCTGCCAACTGAGTCTGATTTAGTACATTCTTTGAACCCTTCAACCAAGCGTGTCAGAAAACGCTCCGCATTATTTGTAAAGCCACTCACCCAAAAAAAGTAAGTCCACGATTGCCTAAAAGGCTGCTCGAAAGGCTGCTCGATTTCAACATTTAATAAAACTATCAGCTATTTAAAGGGGATGTATTACTAACCATTTTTTTAAACTTAGGAATTCATGTCATCTTAATTTTTCGAGTGATTTTTAAACCCTACAATACATTTGTTTCATTATTTATTTTTTATTCCATAAATCATAACTGTTGGTAAAAGAGCGACCATAAATGTTACACATTAAGCCGTATTTTCCAGCCATAAATTTTCCTCTGCTTATCCGGGGTCGGCTCGCAGTGGCGGCAGGCCCATCTGGCCGAGCCAGACTTCCCTCTCACCCGCAACATTTCCCAGCTCATTCTGGGGGATCCCGAGGCGTTCCCGGGCCAGCTGGGGGATATAATCCCTCCGGCGTGTCCTCGGTCTTCCCCGTGGGTCTCCTACCAGTTGGGCTTGCCCGGAAAACCTCCAGTGGGAGGCGCCCATCCCGGTTAGATGCCCCGAACCACCCCAGCTGACTCCTTTCGACGCAAAGCAGTAGCACCTCAACTTCCTGTTAGCTTATATGTAAGGTTAATATTTACAACAAAGGGAACTGTCCAGAGACTGTTTCTCTGATCTCAGTCAGCATCTCCTTCAGTCACCTCAGCTGCTGGTCTGCGTCAGTTCACCTGCCACAGTTTCGGCACAGTGTGCCGTACAGGCCCAGCCATATTCTGGCAGATCATGCTATGTCTGACCAATAGGACAAACACACACACACACACACACACACACACACACACACACACACACACATGCTCGCTCTGCAGTCCTCTCATCTGGTTAACTCTCTTTCCTTAACAGGCTTAAGAGAATCAAGCCAGCCTGCCTTATTTCCTCTCTCTCTATCAGCTCTTCTTCCTGTGCGTGTTTTCAGAGCGAGAGCCCAGCCCTCATTAGCGACGTGTGCATGTGCAAGTGGGCCGCTGACGTGTGTGTGTGTGTCGCCGCAGACTGCTGACGTCAGCAGTTCCCTGCTTCTCTCCACACAAATGGCAGTCTGCCTCATTGATACCTTTTCTCTGTGTCCCCCCCCCCACACTCTTATTAGCGTGCTTTTATCATTTCTAGCACCTCTCACACCACAGAGCCAAGCTAAAATGACACGCGGGTGTAACAACTGGCCGTTGACTTGCTCGCACAGGTTTATTGACTCTTGTTCAGAATATTTACGACTTGTGTTAAATAACACTGTGTGTGTGGGGGGTTGTGTGTGTAGTGTTATTTTGATGTGTATATTTCCTCAGTGCGCTTCAGTGCATGTTTGATTGTGTGTGATGTTTCTGTGTACCGATACAGATGCTGGACTCAAAATAGCTGGATAGTATATTGTTAACAATGGGGCCAATGTATTAAATTCTATGTGTAAATACCATAGGTTTTAGACTGGGATTCTAATCTCTGCTTAAGTTTTGACCAATTTGTTTTTGTGTGAGAAAATGAACTGTAATTGCTCATTTTGAAGGTATCTATCTGTTTTGGGAGCGAAAAAGCCAGATGTGTGCATCTGTCTCCTGGTTTGTTTTGTATCTTGTTTTGTATCTTCAAGCATAATTATTTTTATTGTAGTTTTATCTACAATACACACTGCATAAAATAGCATAATAATATTTTATGAGAAGGTATCACATATAATATATATATATTATATATATATCATATTTATTGTTATAAAAATCATAATACATCTATTTAAGTGGTAGTAAAAGTAGTAGAAATGGAAATGTACCTCATTGCGCTGGATTTCTACATTGTTTGTCTAAAAAATGTAGCAAACTTTTTTAGAGGTTTTGTGTGTCTGCATGTGTGCATGTCTCAGTTGTTGTGTGCCCTCATGTCATGTTTTCATAACATAGAAAATGTCCATTGAACAATTGTAATCCCGTGACTTGCAGAAGGCCGTCACTGTAAATACGCTGCGATGGTGCTGGTTGGCCTTCCATTCAGCACCGTATGTGAGGCAGGCACGACATGCATGCTTACGTTACGCACAGAATGTGCTATTGCACCCTGTGAAGTGTGGTGCAGACGGATTGTACACACACTACCCTGCATTGTGTGACAGACTGAAGACACAGTGCCACAGTGCACTGTGTGTGATCTGGAGGGACGGTAGAAAATAGCACTAAGAGCGTATTTAATTAAGTCTAAGTTTACTTTTTTAAATCTCTGTCTATAGTTCTCTGTCCTTAACGCTCCACTTAATGGCATCCTCTCCTCGGGCATTTACCCACCTCCCTCTCTGATTTAGCCCTTCTGCATCGCTCTGTAAACAAGCAGAAGGCCAACAAGTCTGTCCTCCGGCCGTCTCCCGCCATCCCGTTGCCATGGTGTATGGAGCATTGTTTCCTGGCCTCTATGTCGGGTTGCCATGGCAGTGCTTATTTGCCATATTAAATGTTTGGAAGCATTGTACAGAGGCTGATGACAAACACCCAACATCCATGTAACAGTGATTGGAGGGGATGGGATGGATCTGTTTATTAAACATAGTTATAGCTTAAACGCAGTGGATGTGTCCCTTGCAGAACAGTAAATAACACCTCTGGATAAGTATTCTTACTTGAAGAAGTGCATATAAGAGACATTTCAACTTTTAGCTTTAAAGATGAAATCCTTTAAATATAATGAATTTGTTTTACTGAATCCCTTGTTGAAGTTCTTGGCATTGCTGAATAAATATGACCACATTATTAATCCATTGAGAAATATTTTTTGTCATTGATGTGCGTTGATTATTCCTTAAAATGCAATGCTGTTTGAAAGAAAGATGTGAGGTGTGTGTTCACGACTGAGGTCGAGGTTGTAAGTGTGTGTGAGGCCGGCTGTCTCTCCCCCGTGTGGTGGGAGGTGAGACTGCACTCTAGCTCTCAAAAATAAATACATAGTAGACTGACATATTCCTATCCATTAAAACACTATAGTAAAGATTACATTATATTTTATTGAATATATATTATGATATCCTTGATATAATCAATTGACAGATGACAGATTCATCCCATTTTTCAACTTCTGTGCAGTCAAAAGGGATTTCAGTGCTTCCCCAATGTGCATAGATGACTAAATGAAATGCCCCTGTTAGGAAAATCAATAAATACAAAAAGTGTAATTGGACTGTGTGACAAACCTAGTTAGTGCTATCAAAGCTAATCATTTCTGTATTTTGTACTTGAGCCACAGGATTCGGTTATCCCAGCATACATCCCTGCGACTTTGTGTTACACAGCTTGCTGCGACTTTGACTGTACACCCCTGCGACCTGCATGCGTGACAGCTCCTGTTAGGTTACCCACAGATAGCGCGGGAACGCTGCCAATTGACGTAGTTCGAGCCAGATAAAATCTCACAGCTTCCTTGTAGATGCACTGGTGGCTTCAGCCGTTTGATTTTCTTGTTTTGCCTTCGGTGAAAGGCCGTCTGTGTGCTGTGTTTCAACGGCATTGTGCATTAGAATACCTGCAGTAGAGACTGCATTGTGTGGGGCGAGAAATGCTTAAATGTAAACCGTTAGCACGCTGTGTGTTTAGATAACAGGCAGAATAGACCAACAGAAGCTCTGTCGCTGACCTGCCGCTGCCCTCACTGAAAAGTCACAGGACGGGCTGCTAATAATGGAACAGAGGCCGAAGCCGGATCTCTTTCTATGTAAATACGGTTCCTATTCTGTGCAGTATAAACATCATTTGCAATTTTGTGTGTCCCGTGTCTTTCAGATGATCTTGTGGGACTGGGATCTGAAGCACTGGTACAAACCACAGTATCAGGTCAGTACTCGTGTTTGTTTAGGTTTTGCTTAAACTAAAGTACCCGGCGTGGTTCACCCAAGTAACACACAGATAATTCACCTTCATCACACTTCCTTCTTCTGCTGACATTTTAGGTGAGGCGTAACACACATTGTGTAAAAGCTGGCGTACAATAGCCTTGGCATTCTTGTCATGCCACATTTTTTATCTTATTCAGACATTCTTTGTCCTGTTTGAACTATTTGCGTAATCCAACAAGGAATTTTAGGTCCCACAAACTAAAAAAAATCCCTGTTTGCTCCCGTTATGCAGGAGCCAACACGGCCAAGATACATGAAACCTGCCCTGAATAACTCAAGGATTAAACCTGTTTGTGCTACAATGCTCCCCCAATTTATGAGGTTTCACTATAGATATTAGAACAGCACTGTGGTTTTCATATGGACACTAGAAACGTCCTTTTCATTTAGCGGCATGAATCGGTAGCCTGCCACGCTGTCTTCTGCACTCTGGCAGGAGGCCGCACAATCATAAGCCCAAAAAATTTGGGATCCGACAACTTTTGAACGTGCCGGGCCGAAGTCGGCGCTCTGAATAATCGGCGTGATGCTTACGGCAGGGCGCAGTGAGCGGCAACGGCGTCGATCTGTCAGTCATCAACGAGGCCAGGAACCTGGTGTCGGACCTCCTGATGGATTCCTCTCTGACGCCACCCACCGTCTCTGCCCTGCGCAGCATCTCCAGCCTCATGGGGACGTTTTCGGGCTCGTGCCGCCCCAGGGTCAACCCCTTCACCCCCTTCCCAGGTTTCTACCCCTGCGATGAGGTGGAGGACTCTGTGGAGAGGAGTGAAAGGAAAACTATTAAGGTGGGTGAAAGCACTCCGACTGCACCAATCTAGTACGGATGCATAAAGAGATGAGTAATTCCTCGAAGGGGAGTCATAGTGCCCAAACATATGAAACAGCTTTGTGGCAAAAATGTAAACAGTTTATACATATTGACCACATGAACCTGTGTTTGTATGTTTTGTTTTGCCGCAGCCCCATGCTGGCTTTATTGTTTTTGAATGTGGCTCGAGTTCAGTAATGCTTTTTTGATCCGATAGTGTTGTTTATGTAGCATGACCCGCGTCTTCAGTTTGTATAAAAAAACGTTGTCTTCCTTCTTCCATCAGGGTCTGAGCAGCAGAAACAGCCTCCCCACCCCTCAGCCAAGGCGGAGCTCCACCTCCTCCACGTGCTCTGCACTCTCTTCTCTCGACTCCGCCTCTTTACGCTGGGAACGCAACACTGGCAAGAGACCCCACCCTGAACTCAACTTGACCAGGTACCAACCAATGCACACCTACACACACACACACACACACACACACACACACACACACACACACTGTCTTGCAAACGTCCCCTGGGTCATACTTCACCCAGAACCTGTCCAGTTTAGGAGTGGATGAATTGGGTATGTTAGCCACGTGACTTTACTCCTCCTCGGGTGGCTCAGCAGCACTATGCCTCGGCTGAGGTGCTACTTTTATTACCTTTGACATTGGTGCTATTTGAAACAATAAATTATCACAAAAAGCAAATAGAAGAAGCCGCTTGTGTGACACTTGAGATTCAGAAGTGCAAAGTTAGCTGTAATCCTTGGACAGGCCAGACTCTGCTACAAAGAATCTTTAAAAGCACATACATTTTAATTAGAAACCGTATACCGCGTGTATTATTTGAATTGATTTGAAGTACTCTCTTTTCATTTTATTTCTACGGACATCCAAATGTACCTTTTAGCCCTGTGGTGTGAGTTTCATCTTTCACAGCGGGAGGCGCTGTTAACACATCATCGTGATTTCTCTTGTTTGAGTGATTATTAGAACAGAATTCTACACTATAAGGGAATGTTAATAGTTGTGCACAAGAGAATCGAGATTCGAGAGGAAGTCTGAGAAAATTACTGCAACGAATTGATTACTCAGTGCTGAATTTAATCAAACACTAAACTAAATGTGGAGAAAGGGGGTGTAGTTTCTGTGTTTCTCCTCAGGGAGGCAGTAGAGACCAAATATTTTGTTGGCATGGAGCTTTTTGAGTATAAGAGGATCAAAACCAAACACCCTATAGGGAGACCGTTAGTATTCCATATGTTATTATTTTTCTTTGCTAAAGGGCTAAAGTCACAGATGATTTATATATATATATATATATATATATATATATATATATTCAGATATTTAAGCTCCATTTGAACACGTTTGTTTTTCGCTCCAGCTCAGGCCTGTCTAACGGGCCCAATCCAAACCTGCTCACCATTCCCAAGCAGAGGTCTTCCTCGGTTACTCTCACCTACCATGCTGGGTCCAGGAGAGCAGGTGACACTTGACCATAAAACTCCTCAGAGTCTTTACGTGGATCAATTGCTCATGATTCTAATTGTATCTCATTCTCTCTTTCGTCCTCTTCAGGCGCATCTCCCAGCCTGAGCCCCGTGTCCTCACCCAGCCACAGTCTGCTCACAGCAGGCACGGGTTCCTTGTTGACCTCTGTCACTCGATCACCTGTGGAGTTCCCAGACACTGCTGACTTCCTGACGAAGCCGAGCGTCAATCTCAACCTGCACAAGCCCTCGGGATACACCCAAGGGCTCGTGGGTAGCTCCGCCTATCCACTGTGCACCAGGTGAGGCCTGCAGTGCTGAAGGGACGCTTCATTGTGTATATTTTCCACATTTGGTCATGTGTCTGATTTGTCGTGTCCATTCTAGTTGTGGTCGTCAGATGCTTAAGGGAGGATCCGGGGGTGAAACGGGTGAATCCTATCAACCGTTTATCAGTGAGGCTCAACGCAGGCGCTCAGGTACAAACAACTGTATTTGATGCAGTAACGATTGGCGTGGTAGGTGGCAGACGGTGGTCCTGGAGATTAAAAGATAAAATACTTCTGAAAGCAGTCTACGGAGTTAACGTTGCCCTCTGCTGGACCCCAAACATAATGCAAGTTCATGCACACAAAGACAGACCGAGGTGAATGTTTGTTTTTAAAAGGTGTTGCGTAATATCTTTATTACATTGCAATCACATTATTTTGTGTTTGCAATGTATTCATTTCAATTGAATAAAGATTTAAAAAATGATGTGTAAATATGTAAGTGTGCGTGCATGTGTCCGTATGCTCATGGCCTCCTGTACTTTGTCAATGCAGCGGCTGAAGGGTTGGACTTCACAGGAGAGCCTCTTATCAGGGAGGAGAGCCTGGAGGGGGACGCGTCTGTGGACGTTGCAGAGAACCAGCGGCCGGCGGAGGAGGAGAAGGAGAAGAGCTGCAGCACAGACCAGCGGACTCAGGAATCAGAGGTGTGAAGACAATTGTAAAAAATGTTCAACTACAAATGCGTTTCAGACATGCTTTTTAATCTGGGCTTAATTACAATGGTTAAGCATGTAGAGATTCCATTTGTTTTCCATGTTGACACCATATCTCAATGGAAACAATTCATGCCAATTTCTACCTTATATTTCTTCTTGTGTACAGGGTGAGAGGGAGTTCAGACTAGATCCTATGCTGGAGGACCATGAGGCTCTCATGCAACGGATGAATACCTGGAACTTCCAGATATTTGACCTGGTGGACAGAACAGGAGGGAAGAGCGGAAGGATACTCAGCTATGTTAGTACAATATGCACAAGCCAGTCATCTCCTGTCGCTCTAGCAGTTTGTCTTATAATTTGAGAGCCTGTCCACTCTCTTTAACAAAAGCAAAAAGTTGAAGAACTGGATATAATCAACATTGCAGCTTTTTGCATGTAGTCTGACTGATTAAATTATTATATTCCAGTAAGTGTAAATAGTGTCTGCTTTTTGCTGGAAATGACATATCTGCACAGATAGTGACCTGCTTGCCCTTGTATAGTGACGTGCATTAAGGTATTTCAATGTTCCGGTGGTTCTGGGGGGGCTGGTTGTGTTCTGATTGGTGTTTCAGGAAAGCTGGTTTGTGTTTCCTCAGGTGACATACACCCTTTTCCAGGACACCTGTCTGTTTGAAATTTTCAAGATCCCTGTGAGGGAGTTCATGACATACTTCTGTGCTCTGGAAAGTGGCTACAGGGACATTCCCTGTGAGTATTTCACCGTGTAGTTTTCAAGATACTCTCACATAATTTTCTATGTAAGCCCAAGTTGTTTATTGTGTCGCCATTGTGCAGCCAAGATGGAAAGCAGTTCTAGTTTTTCATAAAGTATCGACTATTTCAAGTGAGTGCTGGTGCGCTGTACATTGTGCGATATACTAATTAAAGTATTATGGTAACAGATCATAACAGGGTCCATGCTACTGATGTGCTCCATGCTGTCTGGTACCTGACCACTCGACCAATCCCTGGGTTCCAGCAGATCCACAGTGAGCATGTGACAGGAAGTGACACAGGTGGGCTCGTACACTCACTGCTCATAGACACAGCTGTTGAATCATTTACGGACCACAGGTTACAACCTGGAGACATGGCTGTGCAACAATCTCCTCAGGCTAAATGCATCGTTTCATTCTGTAATATCTGCGACAAACTGATTGCAGCCGCGGTCGCGCATTCTTAGTTGTCTCTCGTCTCCAAGAGCCTGCACACAGTCAATTTCCCAAGTGAACTTCCCTGGTCTCAGTAACAGAAAAGTTAAAAAAAGAAATACACATGAAGGTTTTTTTTTTTTTACATTTTTTACATTGCCATCTTATTTGACAGATTATTCAAATCGAATGTTTTTATAAACGTGTCTGACTGTGACGACTAACACTGAGGCAGACAAAACAGCTGCCATTGAATAAGAAGGGACCAAGTGAAGGGGATGATAAAATGGTCGGGATATAAGAAATTAAGTAGGGCAGTGAATAAATTAAAATATTATGTACATATACTCTATAGCCCTTCCTTTTTGAATCCAATCCAATATCTGCTTAGATTTCACAGATAAATCAAAAATAAAGGTTTGCTTAACTGGGAAAAGGGCACAATTCAAACCTGACATTACAGGTATGACAGTGTACACACACGCCTTATTTTTCATCACAGCGACATCCATTGACATCCATTTTGTTGTTGTGTTGCAGATTCAGATAGCGGGATCTCTCCGGGCAGGATATCCTACGCCTCCTCCAAAAGCTCCTCGATTTCAGATGACAGCTATGGCTGCCTGGCCTGGAACATTCCCGCCCTGGAGCTAATGGCCCTTTATGTAGCAGCTGCAATGCACGATTATGACCATCCCGGTCGTACAAATGCCTTTCTAGTAGCCACTAATGCATCTCAGGTATCCTGCAGCATTTGTTTGTACTTGAAAGTGTAGTACAATGTATTGACAAATGTATTTGAAGCTCACTGGTCCTCCTCCTGGTCATCCTACTGTGGACGTCTTTTGCCAAATGACACGTAACCACAAGTGTTATATATATAGACATACAAAAGTAACTGGTGGCGTTAGGTTATTGGTTATTACACTAGTTTCCAAACTGGACAGGTTGATGGTGAACTGAACTACACATGTTTTTACTTCTTGCTGGCTCTCCTCGAGAACAGCAAAGTGCTTTCTTTTAACATTTCTATTACACCTGTACGTTTACATACATGTACGTGCACTATCGCCCTTGTCCAAGCTTTACAAAGGACAAAAATACACATTATTGTCTGTGTATATTAATGAAAAGACCAGCATTTTGGACTGTTCTCTACTCAGTTAACACCTCTAGGGTGACGCTGCTCGCACTGCTGGCAAAGGGTATTTAGTTTGCCTTCTAACAGGAAGACAACAATCCCCACCGACGTCTTGTTCCTGAGACTATCCTCAAGTAGAAACACAAAATGACTTTGCTGCTTTTCTGCAGTAGTGACAAAGTCTGTCTGAGAGGCTCCTGTTGCAATTCTGTCTGACAGCAGAAAAACTGCCACTCAACACACCCGGTCATGAATGATCCATAAACACATGCACGGAGCCACACAAAGTGTTACGTCTGCATATGATATATTTATCTCATTTTTTTAATTTTTGGTCTTTAGGTACCTCTTAATCACCTTGACTGTCAAACAGTTTCGTTGTATGACATTTTCCTTGCTTACTACATCACAGCAGAATCCCGGCTCAATTAACAACATTTATAACTAATTGACGTTCCAAGATCAACACAAATTTAAATACACTGCATAACAGCAAATTATCATCATCTATAAGATTAACTACATTGCACACAGCCATTGTGCTCCTTCACTGTGGTCAGTCATTTAAATAAGGGTTGAAAAGGTTAACTGCAAGCCCCTGTTTAAATATTGTACTTTCTCAACATGACCACTGATAGCACTCACACTGTCTGGCTTTTGTAAGTCCCAGGAAAGCTGGTTAAAAGAAGCGAGAGGGAACCCTGAACCTATTGATTGCTGGGGAGCCTATGTGTTATCTAATGTCCTCATAACTACTTTTAACCTGTCTATTACCTCAGCTATACTTACATCTCTAGTCAGTTACATTCAAACTTTCACAATCAAATACCTTGATACATTTACTGAGTAAAACCATTACAAATTGTGTAACACAGAGGCAGACGTATTACGCAAGCACATTTATTTTTAGACGCATTTTAGGGGAAATAGTCAGAATTGTCTGCAACGTTCCCTCTCTCACCACTTGGGTCTTCTGCTGCAGGCGGTGCTGTACAATGACAGGTCGGTGCTGGAGAACCACCACGCTGCGTCTGCCTGGAGCCTCTACCTGTCCCGGCCCGAGTTCAACTTCCTGGTCAACTTGGATCATGTGGAGTTCAAGCGGTTTCGCTTCCTCGTCATCGAGGCTATTCTGGCCACAGACCTCAAGAAGCACTTTGACTTCCTGGCCGAGTTCAATGGCAAGGTCTGAGATGAGTTAGAATAGATCATAATCTATTTGATGATCCATTAATATCTGGCTAAATGTTGAATCAAACATTAGAACGTTTCGTTAACGTTTAGTTACTATTAGTTAGTATGATGGATGCAGGACAAATCAGTTAATCATTTGTATAAAGACATGCATCTTTGTTTGTTAACAGGTGAACGATGTGAACAGTCCAGGAATTGATTGGACCAATGAGAACGACAGGATGCTCGTGTGCCAAGTGTGTATTAAGCTGGCAGACATCAATGGTCCGGCCAAAGTTCGTGACCTGCACCTGAAGTGGACGGAAGGGATCGTCAATGAATTTTATGAACAGGTACAGGCTGCCTGCCATCACAGGTTAATTTTCATTCATTCATCTTTATCTTTAGCATTTTTACACTGGTTGTCTGTCAATCCGTCGGGTCTGTTCTCGTGAACCGACTATGTGAGTGACGGCAGTGAACCAGCTTTACCCTGCAGAGATCCGCTTCCCGGCACAAACGCCCCCAGAGGAAACACAAATCTGACACCCGTAAACATCTGAGCAGCAAGGAGCAAATAAGGGAAAGGGATTAAACTGAATTATATTTATTTGAAACAATATGAATAACGACGATTAATTGTCTGTGAAGGCTTTTTAGCTCAGCTCAGTTCAGTCTTTATTGTCCCGCATGGGAAATTTCTAGAAAGGTGTAAAGTAGATCCGGGTCCCTCAGACATTTTTCCTTTTTAAATCTGCAGGGTGACGAGGAGTCTAGGTTGGGATTACCCATCAGCCCCTTCATGGACCGCTCCTCTCCACAATTGGCAAAGCTACAGGAGTCCTTCATCACTCACATTGTAGGACCCCTTTGTAACTCCTACGACGCCGCTGGCCTGCTTCCCGGCCACTGGATTAATGAAGAGGGCTCAGATGAAGACAACGAGGATGGGCAGGTGGACACAGACACAGATGAAGATGAGGACGATGAGCTGGAGGATGAGCTAGCACCAAGTAAGACACTGTCAGATTCACCTTGAACAGATTCCCGCGAACCGATCTAGATCTTTATAAACAGTTCTTCGTGTTTCCCCTGTTGCAGAAAGGAGGAAGAGCCGCCGCAGGTTGTTTTGCAGCATCATGCAGCACCTGACGGATAATCACAAGGTGTGGAAGAAGACCATAGAGGAAGAGGAGAAGAGCAAAGAGCTCGGAAAGCAGCAGCAGCAGCTGGACGGCCTCCTCCCCATCCTGCCGGCCAGCCTGCCAAGCTCCCCGTCAGATGACATCCAGGTGATCCAGGAGGAGGAGGAGGGAGAGGAGCGTCAGTAGCATTGGGAACGAAGGGAAGAACAGAGACGCGTGAGGAAGAAGAGGAGAGGCTGTGCAAGGACATGGGTCCCTCAACCACCTGCCTTTCTACAACACAAACACACGTGAGACATACAAACACACAGACAGTTGACACATGCACATGAAACACACTTTACTCCCTCCCTCTCTCTCTTTGCTCTCTCCCTCTTTCTGACACAAATACACACACATCAAAAGATTCACTGTGCAGACACTCAAGATGCTCAAGCAGTCACATTGTTTTTGGAGAAACAAAAAGGCCTTACTACTGTGAGCGGATCCTCGCTGCAACGGTGGGAGTCCAACTCTTATGCACTTTCACCCCACGGAGAGTCAAGTGCACCCAGAAGAAAAGCACCGGAGCCGAGGCGGAAAAAGTGCAGAAGAAGAAGAAGAAGAAGAAGAAGAAGAGTGTGAACAGGGTCCAGCATTGACTTTGCCTCCTTGGTGACCTGGCTGTGATGCTGCCTTGAATATAAAGCGCTTACACCTCCCTTAGGTACAAAACAATTACTGTCTATTTAAAAATGAACGGTGGAGAAATGAGGAAAGATAATGAAGCAAGCGACATGATTAAGTGATAGATACCCTTTACCAAAGCAAACCATTCAAACACGGAAAGAGACCGAGACTGTTTCAGCCTCAATGTCAGGTATATTTTTGAATGATATATATATATATATATATACACATGTGTGTGTATATATATATATGTATACATGTATATATACACACATATATATATATATATATATATATATATATATATATATATATATATACATATCTATGAAATGTGCCTGCCTGATTTTAAATGAGTCCATATTGGCCCCAGAGCCTCGGCTTGTGTAGTTCTCTCTCCTTGCTGGCGACACAAAACACTGTATCAGACTCAGTCACAGAGACATTATTGAAATGTTGACTGATTAATAGCATTATATCTGCATCATTTTTGATGCTTTTACTCATGTGTACCACACGTCTTTTTTTTGTTGTTGAGATTTTTAACTCTCCTTGCTTCATTTTGTTTTGAGTGTGTGAATATTTTTGGCGGGAATGTGATAGAGAGAATGAGTAGGGAGAAAGAGAGCACATTTTTAATTATTAATATGTAATTCCTTTGTGTACTATTTGTGTGTCCTCTGGTGTTTTAACATTGAGATCAGGAGCACCGAATGGAGTTTTCATATTCCTATTTTGATTCAAAATACTATTTTATAGGTTACTCAGGATTCACTCAAAGTTGAATAGTTATTTTGCCAGAATTAATGTCATTATGAAATTCACTTTAAAATGTAAGACAATTTAAATCAGGGTGACTGAGGTAGTTTGTAATCCTTCGAATGAACAACTTGAGTACAAACAAATCCAGAGGAGCATATAGTACGTGCTGTCTCTCGGCCATTACATACACTGTTTGCATAACCTTTTTGCAACCTCACTGGAGAAGAGCTTATCTCGGGTTTTTAGCAGACTGCGAACGTCTCCCCTGCAGCAAAACGGTTTTGCAGTTCTACAACAGTTCATTAGGGAATTTCTTGTTCAATGTTCAATCTTCTCTGTTCGTAAGGAAACAGTACATATTTATTAATCTGCGTGTCAATCAGCAGGCTAACAGATGTTTAGATGAATTGAAAGCTCACCTAACTCTCCTTTTTTTTCCCCTCATCATTTGTTTGTTTTTGCCAAACCCAGGGATCCCGGCTTCATTTGACTTTATATGTGATATATATTGTGTGTGTGTGTATATATGTATTTATATATATATATATATATATATATATACACGCACACACAATATTAATAAGCTCTCTGTTATTGTTTAAAGAAACTCTTGGCATTCCACTAGAATAAAATGTTTAATGAAAAGGAAGGCAGAATCTGTGCCTAGTTCCTTTATCACTATTATAAAATCAATCTCTGGAGACAATGTTAAGAAGTGAAAATCAACATAGTAATATTTAAAGACAAAACAATAGATACAGGGGTGCACATTTTAATACCAAACAAGTGTTTAGCCGCTGTACAAAAAAGAGTATGTGCATATAAATATATATTTTTTAAATAATCAAAATGAATGCATTCGTTTTCTACACACAGCTGACATGTTGTATATTGAGATCCTGTAATTACCATTCTGTTTCCAGAGTTTTTATCTACTTCTATTTACAGGTGTAGAACTGTGGGGTTTGGTGTTTTGATTTAGATTTTTCACTTGGTTTCGGCCTCTCGCCGTTCTGTCTAATAACCACTCTCGTGTTCTTCATTATCTCTCTGTATCGCCGTTGTCTCAGTCGACCCGACCCGTGCCGCGCTTCACCTACACGCCGTCGTTTGTGTGGGCTTTTGATACGCGGACGGGCAAAATATCTGCGGGCTCCAGTACTGTTCATGTGAGAGAAACATCTCGAGTCAAATATCTCTCCAGGCTCTTACGTGGCAGCGAGGGCGACCATATGCGTCCTGACAACTCTTTCATTAGTTTATTTTCACATGGAGCCACCCTGGATCGTAAATCCTCGATGGCTCCCGTCCCATCGGACTCCGGCTCATTAAGCGGCGAAAGGTTTGTTGGCTTCTTACTTTGCAGTCTTTTCAAACCACAGTGTCCTCTGATGATTGTGCCATAAATACATCTATGAATGGTTGTCATCCTTATGTAGCATCAATATACGTATGTTTGTCTAATGTAACCATTCGCCCTTATCTACATTGTGGGGGCAACTGATTTTTGTTGTTATTTATAGATGTCATAAAACACCATCCCTAAAGTATCAGACGTTGGCAATGATTTTTATTGGTGTGAGTGTGCTTGAATTGCAATACATTACAATAAAACTGCCTTTTTTGGGGGGGGTCCAGGCCACCGAAAATGAACGCACAACCATAAATGTTCTGAAGACGCACACAGGCGTTTTCGCTTAAAAGCCTCATTAGACCACCGCTCATGGCAGCGAGTGTGTGCGAATCTGCTTCAAATGACATCTTGGTCTGGCTGCACTTTCTCTCACACACCACTTATGAGAAACAGAACCCTGTATTCTGCCAAAATGCTATGAAAACCCACTGTACTCTAACTCTCCTGCGCCAATAGCAGCCAACGACTATTAGGTCAACGTGGTGGAGCATTTGGTAGCTTAAGAGCTTGGTATTTTCCTCATGGGGTTTGTGTAGAGGGAAGCTGAGATAGTCTGCATTAACCAGGTCACGTGAAACTCTGACTGAATGCTAATGTTTTCTGTGTCTGCTCAATTTGTGAATAAGCCACAGAAGAAAAAGCACATAATGGATCAAATTGGATGTGCATTTTTCTACCCGGGGCTGAGCAGTGCAAAAGGGGTAAAGGGAGGTGAATTTAGGACATGGGTGAGGCAGTTTACAATGTATACTAACTAATGATTATTGTATGCAGTATCTGTATCACTGAAGTAATAGGCCGTAACTTATTCTGCAAGTATTCAAAGGGATCATGCGAGGTCTCAGCATGTGAATAGCACATAAGTAATAAAAATGAGTTATTCATTCGATTCCGTGCTCAGTGTTAGCGGCTAAAAGATGACATGGCAAGTTTAAAATATGTTAAGAAAGACTTTTATGAATACACACAAAAAAACCCGACTCATACCACCAGTACTGCAACAAAAAAAGGGACAAACTTACATAAATGCAGTATTGTTAGTACTGATAGGCACCATTTAGCAGAAACCAGTGTTGCATAGTCAGTTTCTAGAAATCCACCAGGGTTGCTTTAGTCTGCCAAGAGACATATTTTCCAGACAGCGTCATCCCTAGAGAAAAGGTCAGAGTGGATCCAGCTCAGAACTTTCTTGGAAAGTCACATTTGGCCCTAAACATACAAATCAGTGGTGTCATTTGTCTAACCTGAAGCTGTCCTGAAGAGGCATGGCTTTGGGCCATCATAGGTGTACTTACTATCAATCATTGACATACACCGAACCCATTGCTAGCGCCCTGAGCTTCATAGACTTTTCAAACTCTGAGCTACAGACAACTAAATCAGTGGCACACAGGTGTTCCCGGAATGTCTTTTATGCACTGAGTTGTGTCTTGCTGCTTATAAAGTATTGTGCAAACGTGCATATTGCCCAGTAGAATAATTAAATAGCCATTGAATAAACTGACAGCACAGTCCATAGCCATTTAGCTTCATACACCTGTATTGTGTGGTTGCATTGCTGTGCAAAGTACTTAAATTCTCGCTTGAACATGTAAGCAAGCTGTACTAAATTCATGATTTGCCTAATTGGGATAAGGAGTGTCTCCAAAGCAGGGGCTTTTCTGCTGCCTGCGGACAGCACAGATGGAGTAAGGTTTGGGCTGTAAGGTCATGCCCAGTTTTGGAGTGACAGTGGGAATGCTTCCTGCAGGGAACTGAAGATGAAACCTCTGCAGCAAAGTGGTGAAGAAGAGGAACATCTCCATCCTGGCCAGCTGTTCGCCAAGGCAGCACCGCCTCCCTGAAAATAATCAATTTAATTTAGACTCTCTAATTAACACACAGGCACATTATTCAGAAATAAGAGAAAGACTATAATATGTTTTGGCTCTAATCTCAATAAGTAATGTAAGGCGAAGGTGGGTGTGTAATTTTTCCAGATGTGATGTTTTTGTGTATGCACAATACATTCAGTTTTATGTTTCTCTTTCATTTATAGGGGGACGTAGATTGCGCCAAGAAAATGTATTTAAATGTATGTATTTATTTAATCCAGACCTCATTCCCAACAATGCACGTTCATGTCTCAGTTGAGTTTTATGCTTTAGTTTATTGCCTGGTGTTGGGGGAGGAATTTCCACCACACTCGGCAGCACATGATTTGAGGTCACCCCTGACTTACGACATACTGGCCATTTTCACTAATCAAATCACCTAAAGACACCTTCATTTTGATAAACTTTTAGCGGGTTTTGCAATCGGAAAGAGAAGCAGAGGCACTAACCCAAGGAGAATGGAAGGAAGGCCTCCCGCCTCACAAAGTTGCCATTGCTGTCCAGAAACCTCTGGGGCGAGAAAGCACCTGGATCGTTCCAGTACTTTTCGTCACAGTGCACCGAATAGAGGTTTGTGATCACCATGGTGCCTTTTGGAATCGTGTACCCGTTGACCTTCGCTTCCTGTGAGGTGGCGCGGAAAATACCAAGGGGGACAATGTTGCAGAACCGAAGGACCTCGTGCAGGACAGCCTCCACGTAGGGCATCTTCTGTTTGTCCTCCAAGGTAGGTGCCCTCTCATTGGCCAGCACGCTGTCGATCTCCCTGTGCACCCTCTCTTTGAGGAGAAAAATGGATGTCATCAGCCATCAACGTCCATCAACTCTCTCTGCGGGTAACCTGTTTACATATTGGGATGACATTTCTACCACAACTGACCTTGAATGTTGGGGTAGAGAGCCATGTACAGCATGGCCCAGCGCAGGGTGTTAGTGGTGGTCTCCGTGCCAGCAATGATGAGCTCGCCCACTGAATAGATGAGGTTCTCGTAGGAAAAAGAGGAGTCGGGTGCTCCCGCGCTGCGCTCCAAATCATCCAAATAGGCATCGACGTAGTGGCGAGGCGAATGCGGCACCCTGCCCTGTGAAAAACTCTGTATGACCTCCTGCAAGAAGTCGTACACCTCAGCAGCGTTGCGAAACAGCTTCTGGTGTTTTCCAAAGGGCACGTACTCGATCCAAGGGAAGGCGTTGTACAGGAGGGCCCAGCCGCTCACCGCCAGCTCCACGTTCTCACTGAATATCTCGATCATGTGCTGAAAGTTGCGGTCGTCGTAAGTGAAGCGCTGACCAAAAATGATCAGGTTGGTGATGTTTGACACGGCGTTGGTTACCAGGTGTTTGGGGTTAAAGGGCTTTCCCTTGTGTTCGTCAATGGCATCGACAAAGAACATGCACTCCTCTGAGATCTTCCTCTCAAACTGTTTCTGTCCGCTGCCGAAGTAACGGAAAGAGTTGCAAGCCAGTTTACGGTGTTCAATCCAGCCTTTGCCATATTTGCAATTAAGAAGCCCTTCAGAAGATGGAGCACAAAGAAAAGCACATGAGTTTGTATCGTGGCGACTGCAATTATTCACATACCGTTGCATGAGAAATAGTGTGCGTTGCGATATTTCTACACGATCTTACCACCCATTTTGGTCATTTTCTTGAACAAAGGCAGAGACGGTCGATCAGCAAACACCTCGCCTTGATTGTAGAGGCATTCCCTGACACAGTCATATCCAGTTAATACCACCGTCAGGATGCCCCCCAGGTCAAGACTGAAAATCTGAAAGGTACACATTGCATCATGAGCGCTGTACTTTTGTGCTGTGCAAATGAATGCACTGTGACATTAATACCACAATTAGAGTCATGATGCAACATTTGGCTTGTGTTCACAAGTTGCCCAAACGGTTTTTTTCATGAGCCAGAAAACTGAAGATGAGTTTAACTTTCCTCCACAGGACACCCTGTGAAACTGTAACTATTAAAAATGACGTCTCCATTTACAAGATACCCAGTTCTATGCCTTAAAAAAGCAATTTGCAACTTGCAGCACTCTAAGTGTTTTTTTTAGGAGCCCCCTTTTTCTTCCGCTATTCTCCTCCAAACGCTGCAGACAAAATATTCGGGCGAGTCCCTTTTGTTCGTTTGGTGTGCGTGCGTGTGCGTGCGTGTGCATGCATGCATTCTCCTATGAGGTCACGTTAAAGAAGCGCCCGCGGTCGTACGAAAAGGAGTCGGAGCCGTTTTACCTGTCCGTGAACTTCGCTTTGCCTCTTGAGGAAGACGTGCGGCTCGGTGGCCAGGGAGAAAATGTTCCCTATCACAGGGATGGGAGAAGGACCGGGAGGAAAGCCCGGGGGTCTCCTTTGCTTGACGAGCTGGCGAACCAGCAGAAAAGCCAGCAAGGCGACAGCCAGACACACCACGCCGAGGAGAGCCTGCGCGCACGACACCGGCACCAGAGATTGCGCTTTGATTGAAACCATCTTCTCAAGAAAAAACGAACAAAAAGTCTAGCTTCAATCTAGCTGGTCCACCTCCGCCGAGTCGGGACTTCTCCGCAGAAGAGCTGAAGTGCATATGTATCATCTTGCACATTTTCTATCCCCCGCCTCTAAAGCGAAGATTGGCCAGAAAAAGGTCGGAGTCAACTGCTGGTGGACTTTGTTCCGCTCTTGATCAATAACCCGGGATCATGTTGGTGGTTTAGGTTGGGTTTAAGCCTGCGATTAATGAAGCGCAAAGACCATAACAAAGTAACAATGCACTTCATCCAAGCCATGAAGCCAAAGTTGAGCTGGGACATTGTAAAAAACGTTGGTTCAAACCAACAGGACTGACAGCAGACCATCATCTCAGTACGACCATTGTATGTGACATTTTAACCCCTAGCAGGGGAGGCTGCAGGGGGGTTAAAGCACAGAGCCACCCATTGTTTCATGTAAACCACAAACAGAAACCAGTCTCAGTCTGGGAGCAGCTTTCCCAGTAGGCAGGTGCTGCTTCCCGGGTCCTAAAAAAGACAAAGATCAACACTTACAGAACAGTTTGAGTACTGAAATAGAAAAGGCAAACTCTAGTGTGATGTTTGACAGTTTATACATGAGGAAATCACTCAAATGCAATGAAATATTTAGAGATGATGCTTAGTCAAAATGCACAATAAGTACCCCTAAACTTTATTTTATTTTCCCGTGCTTATTTGTGTGTGTTGGATGATGCATCATCCCTGCAATGTTTTATTTCATTTGGCCCAAATAGAGGGATACATTTTTTTTTCTTTATTGGAAAAAGTCTATAATACTGAAATGCTATTATTGGTTGTATACGTCGTTTATTCTAAGTTTTCTGTACAGTTTATTGTTTGGACCATTGCAAACTATTTATGTGAAGTAAATTTGTTAGTTTTATCTATGGCTAAATTAATTCAGATCACAAATAAACACTAAATGACGATAAAGCCCAGATTGAGATGTTAAGAAAAAAAAAGGGAAAAGAGGGATTGACGTCTTGGGAGGTTGGTGAAACGCTAAATCAATTTGCTTACAAGCTATTATTACAACTGAAATGGTGACGTGCCAAGAAAGAATTCAGCGCCCACTTTGCCCGCTAATCCCAACATTTTTATTTTAGCAAAATAACATTCAATAAGGATCAAATAACATTTTGTCTCCCTCAAATGTACTTATTTTGTATGGGCACAGTTCCATCTATGAAGATAAAGTATAACTATTGCTTTTCCTGAGATTTTTATCATTTTCGTTGCTCATTATCAAGACTGGTACACTACATAACTACATAACTACATAAACAAACCTAAACAAACACAAGACAGGCAGGAGGATCTTAGCATTAAATAACCTGATAGATATTATCAACCTGCTGTATCGTATTGTATTGTTTGCTTTAAAACATTTAACAAAAGTTTTTTTTGTGATTCTAACTCAATTGCTTTTGAAATATAGTATTAGAGTAGTAGAGCAAAGACAAAATAATACAAAATACTTCCACAATAATACGACTTCAAACTGTTTTTCTGCATGACACTCATTTATTTTCTTGTTTAAATAATATATTACAGTGTCAAATCTTTGAATGGGTCTGTGGGCGATCCGGCCCAGTGAACAGAATCAACACAAACTGTTTGCTGCCAATTAATGCGTGTGCAAGAGTTCTGGCATCACAGAGCTGGTTTTGCAAGTTTTTTAAAGCATTTCAATGCCTCGGTATTTCTAACAACTGAGGTAGTGACTTGTATTAACTAGAGTGAGAGTATGTGCTTTACGCAATTATTTATTCCTAGCAGTTTCAACTCCTTGTATAAAACAGGAATCTTTAAAAATTCACATAACCAAACCAATCAAAATGAGTTAAACACTTTTTTTTATTTGTCACTGAACATCAACCGCAGTAATATTAAATGTACTCACACAATGGTTTCTCCAGATGGAAATCGTCAAAAGTGTGGCTTTAAATATAATACAAAAGCCTCTTTTGCTTGTCGAAATGGACTTCATCGAGGTAAATAAAGAGTAAGCATTTTTTGGTGTTACCCAGTTTCGTTTTTTCAAGCAAATAAACTTTGCCCTAGTGAGCTGCTCCAGTTTCATTCACCCAAACACGTTAAAGGTTAGGTCATGGACTGCTCATAGAGGTCAAAGGTTAAGTCAGGCACCACATTCCAAATTTTCCATGTGGTATATTTCAAACCTGTTGGCTACAAACTGAACTCGTCTAGACAGCGGAACACTGCGTGTGGATGTTCTAGTACTTGTGTAAAACTGCAGGGCAGCGTTTTCTGTAGCCAAACAAAGTTGGATTATCTTCCCCAACATTTCTGACATAATACCTTTGATTCACTTTACATTTATTGATGAATTCACTCACTGTTTTCGCTCTGCAGATGGAAGTTGATGTGGATAAAGCTTGATAGGATCAACCCGACAAACTATTATTTCATTAATGGGGTTTTGAACTATAAAGTTTGCACGTTTGCAGGAGCACGCACTCCATGCTGCTGTGTGATCAGTTAAACTTGACTGGCTCCTCATTAGACATGAAGTTGTTTACCCAGCCGTTCCTTGCTGCTGATGTAGCTGCTAAGCTTTTTTTTCATAGGTGCCCACCAGAGACCTCTAGCAATCATGCATATTTGTCAGGGCAACCTAACGGCAAGGCAATTTTATTTGTAAAGCACATAAAAAAAAAAAAGGCAATTCAAAGTGTTTCACATAAAACCAATAAAAAAATCGAAACATAAAGCAAGGAGATTTATAAACAGTTCAGCACATTGATTGAACATAAAAGAAAAAACAGTCATTAAAATGATAAAAAAAGATGTTAAAAGATTTTGCCAAATTTTGGCACGAGTTCAGAAAAATTAAACCAAATCAGGTTTATCAAATAAATATTTTACATAATTACAACTTATAAAATATCAACACTACAGAGGTGTAATATGAGGGGCGACCAGGCAGGAAATATTTAACCTGGAAGAAACAAAGGAGTAGGATAGAGGTTGTGACGGGTGCCGCTCTTAATTTTTACTTCTTGATCCACTGTAGTTTTTTAAATAATCAATATTGATTCACATATACACTGTTAAAGGGGCACTCCACCAATCTGACCAAGTCCACTTCAGTAAAACAACCCTGAAGATGTTAATAGGACTGAAGCTTTTTGACCAAAGGTTGTGACAGAACCAATATAAATCAACAAAAACCCCAACAGTAACAGACCCCCCCCCCCCCCCCAGGATAATTATGTTGCTGTCCTGATCAATGTATGGGGTTTAATGCAATGGAAAAAAGCATCCGTTGCTACATTATATGGCCATTTAAGGATGGTTCTTCCAGCTAAAGTGTGGGACGTTGTGTGGCATGTTTGTTCGGGCGGGTCCCTTTGTCTATTGTGCTTCCACAGCAAATCAGTTATTATCCAGATGAGTGGAATTAAGTTCATGGAGAAAATCTAATTACCGACCCTCCCTGGCAATTCTAATGCGTCCAGAACATCTTTTTTCCAACTACATAATGGAAGAGGCTGGAAGATCAAGACATCTCGCAATCCCTCTGCAGCCACCGGCCAGGTGCTTAAATGTTAGTTTAGGTCTCGTCAACTTCTGACGGAAAGCCGCAGATGTAAGTTCCTCCGCTAATGGATACTTCATCTCATGCTCTTAATTTTGTAATGAATGACAGTAATTGTATGTTCTTAGTGAAGGTGTAGAAACCATCTGTAAAGTGTTTTCAGTCAATTTCATTAAAGGTTTTCCACACAGTTGCAGTTTGTTCTCATCTTGGCAGTGTTACTGTATGTTTTAGCCCGTGGTGTCCCAGCCAAGGGTCAACATCATCAATTCAATAAAAGATGCTCATCAACTAACTAACTTAATTTCCTGCTCTCTCCATTCTGAAAGTTACAGAGTAAGTTTTGAAGTCATCCAGCCAACGACGCCTCCATCACTTTATTTTCACATTCACACTTTTTTACATTTACGTATTCTCAAAAGCCGACAGCAGTGAAAATAGAGTCACATAGACATTTCCATCTGCCATTTTTTTTTTTTTGCTTTTGCTTGTGGTCGTAAGGTATTCCTGCAGATCACACACCTCAGTGCTATTTTGGTACTCATTTTTGTGTGAAACTGTCTGTGTTTGATGACACTGCTCCCTTCCTAACACAGTTGTGGACTCCTATGAATCCTATGTTAGTATTATAATTATTTGTGTTCCTCTTCCTCTCTCATTTATTGTGAAGTTCCCCATTGTGGGACAAACAAAGGAATATCTTAAGTTGAGTTAAAACACAGAGGACCGATGTGCACTTCACCTCACACTGATTGATGTATACAGAACGCGCTCAAATTCCATGTACCAACTTTTACATTCAACATGCAGCCTAACTGTTGTATCGTTCCAGCTGATCATCAACTCTTGTTGCCTGTTTTGAAAAACGCAGGATATATGAGATGAGCTTTGAAGGAAGTTCTTGCTTCTGTCTGGGAGGAGACGCGTTCTCACACTGACTCAGCTGAGACGGATGAGCACGGCTCCGAGCACAACGCCGCCCTCTCTGTCATGAATGCTCTCCTGTGTTGCAATTAGGCCAATTCGTGCCAAACACTAGGGAATGCTTAATTGCATTCATGACAATACACATTTCCCCTTGGAATGTGATTTCTCTGCTTCAGCCCGTGTCAATAATCAGAGCGGGCCGTGCTGAACCGAGGCCCGGAAGCAGCTCAAGTGCAAAACAATGTGCAGAGTATGCTGTGTTTGCTCGTGCGCAGAGTAGTTAGCGTAAGGATGCGTTTGACATGGAGGAAGAAACATACTTCTTATCTGAGTTAGAGAGTTGGTTAGTGTGACTTTTAGCTTATTTATTTATACATTTTGGAGAATTTGCAGTAAGATTTTTGGAGCACTAAGATCCAAATTTGGTACACGATGCTCATGATTTTCTATTCTTAAATATCGGCTGTACTGGGTGGACATTCCATGAGAGATCGGAGATGAAGAGTTAACTAAATATATGTAAACCTCTTTGCGGGTTAATCCAATGAGACAAATGTAATTTTTGTATTGTTAGAATATGTTTCTCTTAAGTCCTATGTCTTCTTTGAGCAGTTTATTATATTTAATGGAGTTTATTATATTTAATGGAGCTCATTTAGCGCGTGTGGTATAGAACCTGCAGGTCTGCTCAATAGTGCCAAAAGGATCATGCACACTAATGAGTTTCCAAAAACTAACTGGGAGGCAGGGTGCTTCAAAATACATCATCCAATATTGTTATGTATCGGAAATTACAAGATGGCCAGAGACCAACCGCGCAGTAATTAGCTTGGAGAAACCAGCTGGAAACTACTGAATTCTGTGCAAAGGTTTAGTTTATTGATGCACACTATTACCATTCAAGCAAGGCATTAGTTTGATCACACTTACATTATGAAATGAACATGATCAAAACTGTTAAGTTCGAAATAGAATAGAATAAATAGAATACTGCTTTGTACCTTTGTGCTTCAGAAATGGACACCAAGGATAACCTTGGTGATCTATGGATATAAACCATGTTGGATACATATTACTTTGATATTTAAGGACAGACATTTTTCAACCAAACTGGGCCAATATTGTATTTGAAATATGCGAATTGTAAACTGTTTGGCTGTTAGAGGCCATACTGAAGGACACATGGCCTTAGACTCTATTCTCCTTGCCACATTAAAATTGTAACTTGAGTAAGTAACTACAACACACACTGTCAAAAGATGTTTTTTTGGCAATATAAAATTAAATATTAATCACTTGTGAACGTTCACTCACTTTGTAAATGTGATGAATCTGTACGTGAGTAACCTCATGTCTCTAATTGACCCCAGCCATGTTCATCTTAACCACTCAAAGACAAAACGGGCCAATCTTTGAAGTCACATCGATATATTTTATGTTGGCTTCCCTATAATTTTTCTGCCCATTTTAATTAAACCTTACTAACGGAACTATGGTCTCATTGAAATACACAGCAGCCTTTTGTGAGCTAAACATACTGATGAGCATATATTGATGACCATTACGTACAAAGTCTTTTATTGGCTTGTACGTCACGGAGGATTTCTGATTGGCCAGCAGTTTGAGGTGCAACGTTTTATTGGCCCACAGTCTATGATCAAGTGCTCGCTCGGTGAGATGTATATAAAACCCTGCACTGTAAGGAGGGCTCAGCAGATTCACATGTGACACTGAATCATTGAATTTCTTTATCACTTGAAGATTCATTATCTCACGGTGAGTATTGATAAAAGAGTGCTTTTCTAGTTGTTTGTGCAAATGATGCTGTCACTTTTAGGTATCAGATGATGTTGTTTTTTGGACAAGTTGAGGACTTAGTGGTCTGTAAAGACACCTATGGGTTGATACTGGATGCTAACAGTGGATGTAATCGTACCATGAATGAGAGGGTGCAGCGAACTAATTCTGCTAATGAACGAGCGGCTGTTATCATTTCTGGCAAAGCTCCCAGTGTCAGTATGTCACCAATAACTATCCCATCCGCCTTCGCAAGTTCGGCGCCTCCAACAGGGAGGGCGTGTGAGTCAGAGGCGATTCATAGCAGTGAGTGCATGCACTAGATGAGTAAGTCTGTACTAATGAGACATTTTAAAAACCTTCTTTACAAAAAAATTATTAACTTTGCATGTATTTTTCAAAAGGAATCATGATAATGCTGAAACTCTGGAATCTCCTTCTTGCCTATTCGCTGATCAGTTGTCAGATGTACGTCTCACAGGCAGCTCCGCCCAGGTAAGAGTTATGGCACAATTTCGTAAGGAATAAAATACATTAACCTTGTAAAAAAAAACATTGATTATTTATATGATGTAAAAATGTTGAGGCAAATCCAGAACTGGAGAGATTACTTTATCGAATGTGTATTTTCAGAACTAGTAAGGAGTCAATGTCAGATGGAGTCACACTATCAAATGAAGATGCACAAGGCTTACTCAGAGCTATCAAGGAGTTCATGCAGATAACTTCAGAGGAGCAAGACCACCAAACAGCTGAGGCAAAGAGGTAAGTCTATCTATCTATCTATCTATCTATCTATCTATCTATCTATCTATCTATCTATCTATCTATCTATCTATCTATCTATCTATCTATCTATCTATCTATCTATCTATCTATCTATCTATCTATCTATGTCAGCATAATATAACACATTTTTCCTTATGAGCCCTAAACAGCTCGATCGGTCTTTTTTTTATTTTTTATTAATGCATGTAAAACTACTCTTTGTGATAACACCTCATGCCATCCATTTTTTCAATACAATATCAATCGATGTGCCTGAAATGACAAGAGAGAAAATGCATGACAGATATTGTAGGCTCATGAACATGCATAGCAAGACAACTCAACTACAACCAGATGTCTTCATATGGCTCTTACATCATCTTGCATGCATTTCAAATATTAATTTAAAGCATGACATTTTAGAGCACCATGCATGTCATTATTGATATTTAATTGCATGCCACATTTAAGTTCATTCAAGTCTGTTTCTGCATGTTTGTCTCTGTCCCAGACAGCTTGGATAGCCCCATTTCTAAGCGCTGCACCGGCTTGAGCACTTGCGAGCTGGGCCGACTCTCAAACTCACAAACTCCAAACTTATTCCAGCACCAACGTGGGAGCAGAGACGACTCGCAAGAAGCAAAGTCTGTCTGAGAAATATGAAAACTGCGTCAACAAATACAATTGAAACTCACGTTTTTGGCCCAGTCTATTCTTCAGCCTGTCTGAGTTAACGTTTGCTTGTTCACAAGACTGCTGATGAATGTGGATCCTGTTTGTCTGACCAGCTTCTCAGGAACAGCCGTGCTTTAATTTTCCACAAGGAGGCATTCGGTTTCGACACCAATCTGAAAGCTACCAAATGCTGTTACCAATGTAGTTCTGATCATTAAATAAAATATAGAAACAGCCAGAAACCTCTATTTTTTTTAAATGAAAGCTCCTTTAATTAATCCAAGATTAAAAACATGTAGTTGCACACTACTTATTGAACAAAACATGAAAGGAGCAAAGGCTAAGCATGAGTATAATGCACACAAAATAATATGAATTACTTCCTGTTTTTTGTATTTCTATTGTGTTTAACTTGTTGTTGATGGTACTAAACAATAATTTTTAACTTATGTCAGTATTACCTAGCGTCAACTGTGCTAATATGATAAACTTTGTTCACTGTCTTTTCCATTCTTTCAAGCAATGCGACAGCACAGAAGCGGGCGTGCAACACGGCCACCTGTGTGACGCACCGCCTGGCTGACTTCCTGAGTCGGTCGGGAGGAATAGGACACAGCAACTTTGTTTCCACCGACGTGGGAGCCCAGGCGTTCGGCAGACGGAAGCGGCGTGGCCCCGTGTGAGCACAGGAGCAGATATGTGGTATGTCATTGAAGCAGTGTAGATGAAGTACAAGAGAGCAATTTGGACTAAATCATTCAACAAGTTGTATCATTATGTATCATAGTATTGGAGAAGGCAGATTCCTACAGTAAATTTCAAATTTCCTGAAATTAGATATAACAATATTTTTGTTAAATATGGGTTATATACCAAACCTGATCTGTGGACAGAGAAATAAAGGTTATTGACTCCACTCTCCTCTTTGAGACTTGTTGAGTGTGCATGCATTTCATAAAAGAGTGTTATTGTGATTCCTGTGGCCCAAAATATATTTTGCAACTAAGAAACTTTGATGCCAATATCTCTTTTTCTAGTTGTCATGAATCTGTGAAATATATCTGCTTTCTCACAGATAAACCCCTCAATGGTTTTCTGTCCTCTCTGTTTCTCTTTAGGACCTGGTGCCTCCAAACTACATCATCGTCTACCTTCAAAAGCTGGGAAACATGAACATATGCCATTTATACGCCATTCTTCACAAACATGGACTGATCTACAGTTTTCAGAAACTCGTTGTTATTCATTCTTTGACTCTGAAATCGTATAAGTAACTAGCACTGACGTAATTGTTAGCAATGCAGGAAAACTGAACAAAAGTAACTTAAAGGAATGCCAGTGTGTTTTTCTCTGTTTATGCTTGGATCATATTATCCTGACATGTAACTGTACTGCAAACTGGAAGTCTGCACTTCCAAAAAAACAACTACGGCTGCCTTGTGCCTTTGTGCAATACTTCATTAATTTTCTTTAGAGTGCAAAATGCAAGTGTGAAAAATGTACTTATGATTCTAAATATTATACTGATTGTTAATTGAAAGCAGGAATAAATTGTATTTTAGCTACATAATGCTTTCATGCCTTCTTGTGTTTTTGTGGGATTGTGGGATATAAGCTGTAAACCATGCATACTTTTCCAGCAGAACAACACATTTAATTTTAAAAGAGGTTCATAACATGTGTTATGTCTGATAAGCGAGGGCAGTCATGCAGTTTATCATCAACGGAGAGGACACGTTGTATTCACTAAATACCAGTAATTGAACCTTAAAGAATAATTAATCAACAATGTTGTGCACTGCAAACTGTTATTTGATATTTTTTTGTTATCAAGGGTGAGCATGTCTCTGACGACTCCACACATTAAATTTATCTTTCAAGTCCTGCCTCATTTTGCCCTCAAGTGGTTATAATAAGTCACTACTTAAATCTCTGATGAACGATACAATTCTATTTTGTCATTGTAATTAGTACCTGTGCTCACATTTTGCGATGTTGCATTTAATGCTAATATAATAGTAGGAAATACCAACCCAGTTTTGAATATTTACTGACCACTTCTGGGATGTTACATCCAATCTATTACGTCTATTAAAAGCCTGATGACAATTAGGATCATTCTACGTGGAGATTTAAAAGTGACGCTCCTCCTTCTATTTTAACAAGGCACTCCTATAATATTGTGGGATTCCTAATTGACTGTTGAAAGAATTTTCACAGAACCAGAGATAGCACGTATCATATTCAATGCATTCTTCTTCCCAATGAAAACCAGCGGCCTACACCTCCCAGAATGCAACACAACCCAGTGCATTCAACAGACAGTTATGCAAAGATAAAGTAAGATCGTCCTCTATTAGACACAACAGCTCAACAGAACAAATGTCTGGTCAAACCGACAGGAAAGAAACATCATAACAAGGACGACACTAAAAGCCGGAGAGCACGTTGGCTTGCTGCTATCACCGTGTTGCTAAGAGGGACATAACGCCCGTGGACAAGGGACAAGGTTTCATAAGGTGACAAATGGGGATAAGCACTGCACGGTTACAAGGAGGCTGCCAGCGAGGTACCAGTGCATGACCACAGGCTGCACGCTGAACGGGAGATGACCAGTGCTCAACCATGCGCCTGCCGCGAGGGAGGCAGTTTCTGCTGAGTAATTGCCTTTCTAAACGTTGCACTGTGCTGTGAACGTACTGAAAATGAATTTTTGTGAACGGTAGTGCGTGTGGCTTTGTAACATCTTGCCGTCGCTTATCAACGTTGACGGATCCACGTGATGGTTTTGGATTTGAGTTCATAAGGTTCGATGGCTGACTGTGGAGTCTCTTCAGCCTTAGTTTAGTTTAAGTTCTTTGTATTCTTTCACATTCCCCAAGCCAGGTCACTAATGGGCTCCTATTAGGCTTTTAACTGTCAGATGTTTTATCATCAACCATGATGTCACCCCTCGAGTCTATTTTTAAATCTAGGATTTGTGTATCGCAGACACAAGGAAGGGATGGTATGAAACGCTGCACGCCACAATAATGTGTGCTTCTAAGGTCTCGCAGACTAACCTTAGATATTTGCACACAACATTTCTTAAAGATGATATCAGCTATCTGTGCCACGGATGTTACAGAATTGCATTTATTTTGTGACCGCTTTGTTCATTCCGTATGTAAATAGTTGGTCAAACAAAATGCTCGCAAGAGTTTTGCTTCCTCCTCCTCCCCTTTTTGCAGATATGGTGCCATGGCAGCAGCGAGGCGTTCATTTCCCTGGACAGCCATGAGCGTCCTCACGTGGGATCTGTTACAGGCTTAACTGCTCCCTCGGGTACCATTCCTCTGGAGTCACTGTGTAACAGACCCTGAGCTTCACGGCTGCTCGTCTTCCCTAATTGACGCGCTTGTTCTAAAAGTTGTTTGACCCTCACAGTCCAGCGTCTCTTCAGGGAGAAATAGCTTTAAAAATATATTATAATAACACCAAGGGATTATTACGCAACAACCCAGACATGTTGTGTTTTTTTTTCTCTGTTTAAAACACCTCACAGCTTGATAAAAGTTACTCGGGCACTTTTAAAGACAAATACATTTTCTGACTTGTGGACAGTGTTTGCTGCTGTGTTTGCTCGGAAGCTCGATCTTTGGGGGCCGTTTTACAGAATTTCCTGAATTACTATTTCATGACCTTGGTCAAGCTGACACAAATTTGAGAGTTATTTCTCTAATAGATTGTGATCATTGATATCAATAGAACATTTGGAAAGTTCCTCCCACCCCTTCTGTTTCACTTTTTTATTTGCTGAAATTAAACCCTTTAGAATCACCGCTTTTAGCGGTGATCCTTTGTCAGGGATTGTTTGTCCGATTGTTCGCTGTGTGCTATATTTAATATATTTAACGATTAAAGGATAAGACTTAAAGTGCGGCACAAGACAGAGTCACATTCTATTCGATTCGATTGATAGAAAGCAAATGCCTTAAACTTTATTTGTTCTAAACGTGTTTTACATTTAGTCTAAGGCTGCAAACAATGAAAATAAAACCTGATTGTGTCCGTGGTGGTTGAAACAGCCATGGGTTTGTTAAAAATGTAAAATTATCCCCTGAGTTTTGACAGACAACACATGCCGAAGCTGATTAGACAGATTAGGTTGATGCAAGCAGCCATGTGCAGACTGAGCTATGAGGGCCGGCGTCAGAGACAGTCCGGAGCCTCGGAGGAGCTGTTCAAGATGCCGGAGTGTCCGGGGACGAGCATCTGTCACTTTCCCCTCGTCACCATGTGGATGACAAACTATGAGTCACTTGGCTAGATCTTACTTTTCTTGTTTAGCTGCAGGAAAAGACATTTTGTGCTGGAAAACTGGTTGTTTGGGTCACAAATCTTACGCATATTGATACTTTTACATACATTACTTGATACACTTCCACATTTAAAATCCGATTTGAGCATCAGGACTGAGACGCACCTGAAGAATTCGAATCACATTTTAAAACATCTTCAAACGTGGCATTGACATGGTTTTTCTTTTGTGCTCTCAAGCCTTTCAAAATCCCACCCAGAGGCCACCTGGATGTGTCAAAGTAAGTCAGTAAGGCAGTAAAACGCTATCCCCCTTTTACTTTCTTCACTCAAAGATTTTGTTTCCCCCCCAATCCCTCTTGCTTTTAGACTTTTGCGCTTCCTCTTTCAATCACGACCACAACAGACGGGGGCTAAACTCATCCATCAGAGGGCCACGTGTCATTTCTTCTCAGTCGTTAGCTATTGAGTAGCAACAACCTAATTTAAGTGAATTTTAAATTCCAAAGCAAATGGCGTACACACATATATATGGAAAACGGTTCTGAAATAAGATGCGAGGGCAAGACATCCTATCTGCATCTCTTCTGGTGCCACCATGTGCCCGATGTCGTGATAGCATGCAGATGTGTGCTGTGCATTTGCTCTTCATGGGGAATTCATAGCGGTCCAGAAATGTAGACAATGCGTTGTTATGTTCATACACGCTTGACACAAAACTAAATATTAGGAAGTTTGGGCTCCCAGCAGAGGTTAGGTTAATATATTCAAATACTTTGGCAGGTTTCTTGTAAATCATTTTTTAATTTTTTTTAAACTCAAATGCTTTGACCCTGCAGTTTAACAAAGTAATACTAATCCAATCAAGGCAGTGTTTTGACCTGTGTAAAATATTTTACATTTTATCTTTATTTGAACTTGAAATTCACAGCTTCCGTCGTAATTTTCAGTAAATGATGTTCCATGTATATGCATGTATATGTATATGCAAAACCTCATTCCACACCTGTTGTCTTTTGTAGAGGAGCAGTCGTTCCTACAGTCACTGACATGATGAATTAAAGCATTCATTTAGTCAACGAGGCTCTCTGTGCTAATGTCGCTAAGACGTTTTTCAAACACACACCAATACGTCATTTTGGTTCCCAAAAAAACATTCTTCTGGCTTCAAGAGCCTTTTCAATAATACAGCGCTTTCATATCATATTCATAATCCACTACAGTGAACACTGAAAGTCTGCTGGGTTTAATTTAATATAATTCCAGGGCCTCATTTGGCTTCCTCCATGTCAGGGGTAATGAAACTTTTGTATTTGATCTACAGCCCCTCCATTTAGATTCTCCCAATTTCCAAGATATCGAGATGAACTTTGTGCATTGCATTAAATTCAAAGAGAAAAGTAACCACGTTAGGCCTCTACACTCACAGTTATTTTTTGGGGCTACTGATGCCCCAAGTATTTTCATTCAAGAAAGGGCACATCTCGAAGGGCATTCAAGAAAGGGCACATTTGGTTCCTTTAAAGAAACCAAAAGACACAGTTGCAAACAGACTATAAGTATTTTGAAGCATACGATGTGCTTACAGTAATTAATAGGGTTTCGCAAACAACACAGTGTTTAATAATAATTTTCAGTCTCCAACCTTAGAGGTATGGTTGTAGTATTTTACCCAATCTGAATCTACTCAGAATAACACAATGGCAATTTAATCAAAACTCTTTCTTTTTTTTCGTAGTGAAATGTGCCTTTTACCAAAATTATAAATAACTAGAAAAATCTGCAGCTTGATTGGACAGAATTAGTTTGGATTGGCTGCCTACTTAAATTGAAAAAATGAGAACTTAATTCATCCTCAAATTATATTTTTGAAGTAACAAAAATACATGTATAAATAGGTGACGATACCTTATGTTGATTAAATGTGTGTTTACACATGGGAATTACAGTTGCCTGTTGACCTTTGTGTTCTTTATCTTTATGTCATTAAGCAGTTTCTAAAACTAGAAACTGCTTAATTTATTGAGATGATAAACGTTATAGAAATAAGGTAATTTTGACCCTTGAGATTACTACACTATGTCCATCACCTTCTTAGTTATTACTTTTCTTGTGTAGATACCAGCTCGTATCCAACTGACCATCAGTACAAACAACCTATCGAAGAACACTGCTTGTCATAACCAAGAAACCTCAACGATTAAAACAGGCTCCTTCATTGATTTAGTAAAAGTTCTTAACACGTTTATCTAAAAAATGTAATTTTTTTTCAT